TTAGTCACTGCTATAACAATAAAGTCATGCTACAACTTAAAAAGCACACTCCTCATTACAATGCTGAGAAATAGCAGTACAAGCATTATCCCTGTTTTTTAGGTGATGAAAATGAGCCCTTAGTCAGTGCCCAAGTCAGTAGGAGCTTTGCAGCCACAATTCAAACTCAGGCCTTCTGACTCCAAGTGAACTCTTTTCACTACACCATGCTGCTTCCTCATTATTCTAGGCTCAGATTTGTTTCTCTAGTGGCTGTGTGGTCTCTAGGGGTAAAGGTAGAGGGCTATCATCTTAGCCTTGAGCCTGTCTGCATCCTGCCAACCCTTCGTCAGTTGGACCCCCTGTATCCTTCTGTTGCAAATTGCACATTCCCTTTTGGCTTATTAAGTTCCTGTTTCCTATCTAAGGAATGATCCCGGCTCTCCTCTCATTTGCACAGCCAAGGAAACCGACATCCTGAGTCCAGGGAATGATTGAACCCAGGTTACCGATTTTATCTATGTCAGCAACTTCTCTTTAGAACCATAAAACCTAGGTGAGATCTTAGTTTGATATTCCTACTTTGCAGATGAGTAAATTAAGATCTCTAGTAATAGAGGGATTTGTCTAAGATCTAGAACCCAGGTATCCTCATCTCAGTCCAGTGATGCTGCTACTGCTGCTGACATGATGACTCATGAATTCCCAGGGAAAGAGACGGAACTCTTCTCAAAGTCATTTAATTACAATCTTACAGTGAATTATATTTTCAACATGTATAATAAGGCATACAGAGATCACTCCTGCTATCAATGAACACTTGCAATAAACAGATGCAATGCCTTCTAGGCATAGAAAAGTCAAGGTGCTTCTGATAGGCAATACCCCTTTTACCGTTTCCTAGATTACAGATCAGGCTGAGAAGCTAGCCCAGGGAATAGAGATGGCTGGACTCAGAGAGTAGAGATCATTAGACTAAAACCCTTCAGGCCTGGAAGTTTAGGAAGCAGTAGTTTGAGATGGAATCTTTGCTACTGATTTAATATCTAATTTCCCTTATATTCTGCTTTAAAGAAATGGCCTTTACCTAATTTTATATATATATTGTGTTGAGTTTGGCCTTGGTCAGGGATGGTTCAATGGACACAGAGGCTTGTGACCTATGAATCTAAGCAAATAGATCCAAAGTGGTTCCAGAAACCTGAAAGTGATGGGGTGGGGTGGGGGGAGACACACATACGCATGCACACACACACATATATACACATATACACATACACATACATATACATATATATATTACAATTACACACAACCCATATGTATAAAAAGATCTTTTTTGTTCTTTGTATAGTGGACTGTCTGTGTTTGTTCATGATTGTTCATATATAAAAAAGAGATGTTAAAAAAATGAAATGAGGAGGTTGTTCTAGATGGCCTCAGAGGCCCCTTCCTAGACCTGGATCGATCATTTTATGATCTGTTCCAACATAATAGGCTTCCTCCCCTGACCCTGCTCCTCTGGGCTGCATCCTTGACTTAGCCTCTCTTCTCTTTCCTTTTACGATGATCTCATCTATTCCCATCTACAAAGTGGAAATCTGATCAATGAGTTCTTCCATTAAGAGCTTTTCTGCACAATCTGACTTTTTTTCTTTCCTGTATTGGGGGGGAGGAAATGAAGAAGGGCAGGGGAAGTCATCTCTCCAAAAGTCAATCTGCCTCAGGGTCTGACTCCAGGTCTTAGGACAATGGCTCAAATGGCTTTCAGTTGACTAGCTAACCCAGTGCTGGTCACCTAAGCTCCCTTGCTGTGGAGGGGCTCCATTGTCCTTTATATGTGACCTTGAGCAAGGTCACTTGATCAAGTTACCTAAGCCTCAATGTCCTTATCTGTGAAATGACAGGATGAGACTCAATGACCTCCAAGATCGCTTCCAGCTCTATAATCTGTGCTTCTGTGGTACTATTTGTTCAGTCCTTCAGATCACTATGCTGAGTCACTGCCCCAACTTTGTACAGGGCAGCAGTTTCTGGCTTGGATTTATAGAGAGAGTGAATCAAATCTAATTGTGAGGAGGGGGAGATTCAGAAAACTTGGATTGAATCCTGATTCCCACATCCTTAGGGCAAGACCATTTACCCTCTCTGGACCTTCCTTTCCTCATCTGGTAAACAAGATCTTCAACTACAATTCTTCAGTATTATTCCATGACTCTAAGCTACCCACATCACCAGAAAGACATTGTCATGAAAAAGCTAGATTTTTATTTCAGGAAGAAGCTTAAGTTCATTAAAAGAGCTTCAAGGTACCAAAATAATATAAATATGAGCATAGATGTGGATAAAGATATAAAAAGGGCTAAGGTATAGATATCATAATGATGGACAAGCTTTATATGTTGCCCATTCAACTGTAAATTGTAGTCTGGACAATAGAAATTTTTAATCCACTTGTTTTTTCCAGTGTGGATAGTTAGACGAAACTCTTTAATATGATTATGGATCTCATTTAAGAGACCCTGAAATACCCTGAGGCTTAATATAATCAGAATATTATCTTTAAGTAGGAGCCCCAGGAGAATCTCACTATCTATAGTGAATCTCTTTTTTCTTTAGACTCTCCTCTGGATCTCCTCCATGGCAATGGCAAACATCTATGGTATGCAAGTATCTTGATGCTTTAAACTTAATTTGGAATTAATTATTAGAGGGCCATTGAATAAGCTTATCTCTATTGTTATATTTCAAGAAATCCTTACACATTATTGGAAGAGAACCTACAGAGTATTATTTTGCTCCACTGAATCAGATACTTTTTATAGCTAATCAATTAATAAGCATGGATTAAGCACCTACTATGTTCTGGGCATTATACTAGAAACTTGAGATATGAAGACAAAAATGAAAGGGTCTCTGATCTCTTCTATTCTATTAAGGAAGATAGTATGTGCATATATAAGTAAATACAGAATATAAAATAAACAGAGGACAATTAGGCAAGGTGGTCACTAACAATTGAGGGGACCAGGAAAGACTTCCTGTAGAATGGGGTAGTTGAACTGTATCGAAGGAAACATAAAAAGGAAGTGAGGGATTCTATAAGGAGGGAATGAAGGAGAACATTCAGTCATGGGGGAAAGCAATGTAAAGGTGTAGAGACAGGGTAAGATGCACGGTGCAAGAGATGCATCATACTATACAAACTATGCAAAGCTAGTTTGGTTAAATATTAGAGTGCAGGAAGGGCAATAATGGCTGAAAACATAGGTTGGAATCAGACTGGAAAGGACCTTAAAAACCAAACAAAGCAGTTTTATCTTAGAGGCAATACAGGGTCACAGAAGTTTGTTCATTGAGGGAGTGAACTGGTAAGACTTATACCGGTGCTTAGCACAGTGCCTGGGACATAGTAGGCACTTAATAAATGTTTATTGAATGAATGAATTTAAGAAAAATCATTTTGGCGGCTGTGTTGAAAAAGAGAGTTTTGAGGCAAGGATAGCAATTAGGAATCCATAGTAAAAATCCAGGAGAAAAGTAATGAGGTTCTGAACTTAGGTAGTGATTGTGTGAGTGGTCAGAAAAGGAGGGATACAAGAAATGTTGCAGATGTTTAAATGGCAAGATTTGGCAACTCATTAGGTATATGGGGTGAGGGAAGATGAAGATAGGAGAGGAACACTGAGATCATAAGTCAAAGAAACTAAAAGGATGATGGAGTCCCTGCCAGAAAGAGGAATGTCTGGCAAAGGGCTAGATTAGGTAGTCAAAAGGTAATGATTTTTGTTTCAGTCACATCAAGGTTGAGATGTCCAATAAGCACTTGTTGATGTAAGACTGGAATTTAAGGGAAAGACTGGAGCTAGACATAGAGATCTGGGAGCCATTTGCATAGAGATGATAATTAGACTGGTGAAGTCACCAAATTCTAGAGTTTAGAGGGAGAAGAAAAGAGGGCCCAAGACAGCCTTGGAATATGAATGATGAGCTAGCAAGGGAAGCTCAAAAGAAGTGGGATATTGTATTCTCTGCATGTTCTAGTTAATTGCATGATGGTAAAGATGTGGCCCACTGTGGAATATTGCCTGGGAAAGCCTGCTTCTTTGCTCTTAATATCCTCCTCAAGAATGCTCTCAGTGGCAGTACAGATTATTTTCATAAAAATTTTATACGGATGAGAAAGCAGGCATACTGCTCAGTACTTAGTGATGTTCTCTTGGTTACCAATCCTTCCTTGTTCATAATAAGGTCTGATATTTTTCACTCAAAGGGCAATGGAGAGGTCCATGATGGGCACGTACAAGCTGCAACACATTACAAACAAAGAATTAAATAGGAGAAGTATTTTGAAAGATGTCATCAGAGATGTCAGAGAATCAGAATGCCAGAGTGGATAGAATACTAAACTTGGAATCACTTGATCCACATCACTAATAATAAGAGAAATGTAAATTAAAACAAATCAAATTTCACCTCATACCCATCAAATCGACAAAGATGATAAAAAGAAAAAATGTTGGAGAGGTTTAGAAAGAAGTGCATACTAATATGCCATCAAAGGAGCTGTGAATTTGCCAGACCAACCTGGAAAACAATTTGAAATTATGCAAAAAAAAAAGTCATTAACCTATTCATATTCTTTGACACAGTGATTCCAGTATTTGACAGTGACCCAAGGGAATAAGGAAGGTCTCATATATAGCAAAATATTCATAAAATTACTTTTTGAAGTAGCATGAATAACTGGAGACAAAGGCAAGCCCATCAATTGGTGAGTGGTTGAATAAATCATGATGTATGCATTTGATGGATTATGACTGTGCTGTAAAATGAGGAATGGAAAGAATTCAGAGAAATATAGAAAGGCTGGCATGAAGTGATGCAGAATGAAGAAAACAGAAGCGAGGAAACCATATGTGCAATGACCACAATGTGAAGGACAGCAGCCCCAAAAGCTGTCAAACTGATCAATTTTAATAAGCAATCTTAAACCCTGAAGAACTGATAACAAGACATACCTTCATCTTCTCAGCAGGAAAGTGCGATTGCAAATGGTGCATATGGTCTACACTTGTCAGGTGAGGTCATCATGTCAGTTGGCTTGGCTTCAGTCTTTGCCTTTATTACTAGCTGTGTGACCCTGGGCAAGTCACTTAACTTCTGTTTGCCTCAGTTTCCTCATCTGTAAAATGGGAATAATTGCTGTGAGGACCAAATGAGATTATATTTGTCAAAGGACTGTGCAAACTCTAAAGTGCTATGGAAACACTAGCTATACAATTATCCCTTCCACATGGAGGGGAGGAGAAGGGACACAGTGCCCCCTGTGATCTGGAAAATACATGTAACGTTTTTCGGCCCTCCCTTTGCACCAGTGAAGAAGTCTGTATTTTTTCTTTTTTCTTTTATGGGTGTTTATTGTACCTTGTTGTAAAATTTGGGTTGATATCATGCAATACTATACATATATTTTATGCATTTCTGAGTTTCTAAACTTTCTGTGTGTCATCTGCTGGTCTTTGAGCATCATCTGTGGCTTCCTCAAAACTCCCCCAAAATTCCTATTTAATTTTTTATGCTGAACCATGATATATGTAAACTGCGATGGGGGAAGTTGCCATATGGAAGAGATAACCGTAATTAGTAGAAGCAAGAGATGACCAGTAGACAATGTGACCCATGGGTATCATTATGAATTCAAGAGAATTTAAGCACCCACACTATGACCAAATGTGTACGCATCACACACATACACACACACACACACACACACACACACGTTTGGAAAGACTGGACAAGAGTTGCCCAGGTATGGATGAGTCTGTATCATTGGAGGCAATACCTACATCAGTGAGATCACAGCTCCATTGGCAAATTGGAGGACATTTCAGACAAAAAACATTTTCATTCTCTACAGCCCAGGGTGGTTGTGAAGAAATCACTTTGGAAACTGTGAAGTGAGCTATCACAGTCTGCAAAATGTTTCCTATCCATTATTTCATTTGACCCTCAAATGCAACCCTAGGAGATTATGCTATTTACAGATGAGGAAGCTGAGTCTTGGAAAGATTAAATGGCTTACCCATGGCCGCACCTTCATACACACGCGTATACAGCCATGAGACCTATGCACAACACCAGCATATAAACATGGATGCATGTGCATGGGGCTCTGCAGGACACAGCTTCCTTCCCCCCCCCTTTTCATCACTCCCCCCAACACCCCATACAGCAACAAGCATGCAATCTAACGTGAGTCTCCGGCCTGGGAAACAAGCCCACATCAATATTTTCAGCTGCTATCCTTGGAGCTTTTGTTCTTCCCACTGTGATTACTCATATGTTTAAAATGCCCCTCTCTCAGACCAAGATGTTTAAAGGTCATCAGTTCCCTGATGCGGCTTCCTGCCCTACCGGGGAAGCATCCATGAAGGCCTTTAACCCATTACTGCGGTCATTGCAAGTCGTGGAGGGTAGAGCTGCCAGGGCTCCTGGCTAATCGGTGTGGCAGAGTTATGAAAGCTGGTTAAGCAGGACTCAAAGCCACAGTTAAAACAAACCCTCCCTCCCTCCCCACCCTATACTCTCTTCCCTATTAGACTCTTGAATTGTCTTCTTTTTTTTTTTCCCAAGAACTAAGCACCAGACAGGTATCCTAAGTACCAAGAGCCAGTTTCTACCCAGCAGGTCCTGTTTCTGCTGCCACTGAGGCATATTCAACATTCTTTCCTGTTCTTCTGCTTTTTACATGTGTTGCTTTTATTTTCCACATCAGATTACAGACTCCCCAAAATACAGACTGGCCCCTCTTACTCTCCCCTCCCAGTGTTTATTAACTTTCAGTTGTTAAATGAGCAAGAAAGTTGTGGATTTGGGCTGAGAGGATCTGGCCAAATCCCAGGTCTGCTACTTACTGCCTGTTATGACCTTAATCAAGTCCCTTAACTTCCCCTGGCCTCAATTTCCTCATTTGTGAAAATGAGGGATTTGGACTGGATAATCTCTGAGGTCCGTTCCACCTCTAAATCTTATGTTTTTAGGACCATTGCCATTTGTGTGACACACTCAGATGCTGAGAATTATGTGAGAGATTGGGCTACAGCCACAGGTTGGAAAACTTCCTCTCCATTAACCTTGTGATTAAAATAATTAAGAGGTTGAAATCCCAGGCCTGGAATGCTCTGTTCAAAGACAGCAGACAGGCTGATGTCAGAGCTTCTCTTTACAAGCCCCTCTGTCATGATATCCGTCCAGCTCAGGATTTGGCTTTGAGTTAAACCTAATCTGGACATAGGACTCACTTGAAAATTTGTATGATTTCATAGGATTGTAGGATTTAGAACCAGAAGTGACCTTACTGATCACCTAGTACGTCACCTTTTTTTTTTTTTACAAGGGAGGAAACTGAGGATCAGAGAAATTAAGTGTCATGCATAAGGTCACACAGCTCTTAAGTTAGCAGAACAGCCTGCCCCAAACCCAGTCCAAACCACTGGATCCCCAAAGCCCCATGTAGTCCTCATCTGGTCAGGCATCAGTGTGTTCTGTCCTGACCCCAGGAATTCCATTCATCTTTGCTTGCCAACTCTCCTCTTCATTCCTCTCGGGGGAGAATCTCAGGTTTTACAGTCTGTAGCAGGCTATTATCCAAACAGCAGATAAGGAAGAGGTAGAAAAATGGGGTGGATGCTGGAAAAGAGAAAAGCAACGAAATAACAGATTGACTTCAGACTGACTTAGAATAGAATGTCAGACCTGGAAGGGACTTTACAGAATGAGTCTAAACTTTTCATTTTACAAATGGGGAAACTGAGGTAAAAGGGATGACTTATTTAAGGTCATATTGCAAGTTGATGGTAGAATCTAGTTCTTTTGAGACCTTTTCAAGTAACCTGATGCCATATTCCCCACCTCATACAGAGAAATGAGCCCTGACTCTGACCTCAATTTAGCATTAACCTTGACTCCTGATTATGCTCCCTTTACCCAAGCCCAATTCCACCCCAACCAGTCCTGGATCAGTAGTAGGCCCCAGATCAGCAGGGATGATCCCACACACACACATACCTTTTAGGGGCAGGCCAATACAGATTACATTGAAAAGAACTGCCAGTCTGGAAAAATACCCACCGACAATCCCTTCCTCCAGGGCTAGAGCTGGGAACCTTGGCAAGCTATGCCACCTGCCCCGCCCTCCCCCACTCCCTGTGGATGTGGGCTGGCCCTTTGGCTGCATAAGGCTTGAACCTCCGTAGCAGCTGTATCAAGAGAGAGCTGGGAAGCATCTCAACAGGCACGTTCCTCCCGACGATCCTGGCCCGGACCCCACCCAATCTCGCCCACTGCAGCCCAATCAGCCAGCCCCTTCGAGATGGCCAGCAAGAGTTTCCAGGACTTCAAGAAACAGGCAGAGGAAGCTGCCCAGGAAGCCGGTGAGAGATGATGTCCAGAGTGGGAGCAGGGTAGCGGGAGAGAACATAACTCCTGTTTCCTATTCAGGGGTAGGTTCAGGGAGCCTGAGCTCAGCTGATATGTCCAGGTGCTGCTTCCAGGGCTAGGGAAAGGCAAAGGCAGCCCCGAAAGTCTGGAATCCAACGAGTCGGCTTATTTCTTCTCTGCTCTGTTCTGCCTAGCCCTGTCCTACATTCTTGGAGAGAGAGCTGGTCCTCCTTAATCTCCCTCCAAGAGAAGCTTCTCTCTTAAAGTGACCATGCCAATGAGACCAGGCTACTTGTACTGAGCCAAACAGTACTTGAAAAGAGGAGATGCTTTGAGACCTTGCTTGCCTTATCCTGGGGCCCAAGGGGGCACTTGGGCAGTGGTGCCAGGTATCATGCCAAGTGTTGATTCAGTTCCAATCTCCAGAGACGTCAGTGGATCTGGAAGCCACCCCTTGAGAATGTGGGAATCCCTGAGACTGTCTTTTTTAATGTTAGGAATTACTTCTATGTTTAGTTACATTCAAAGTCCCACAAACGAATATGGTTCCGGAGGAAATCTTGGGAAAGGGACATCAGTAGGATTCCTTGAGCACTGGGCATGATTAGGATAGGATGGCAGCTCTCTGGCTGTGCTCTGATGCTAGCAGCAAAGCCAAAAACAGAAAGAGTAGAAATAAGCACCAAGAAGGGCATGGGGGTGTGAGGGAGGGGAATACAGGGACAGAGGTTTCAGAAGCACCAAGAGAAAAGGACAGAAAGCTTTGCTGTTCTTGTTGTTTAGTCATTTTTCAGTCTTGTCCAACTCTTCGTGACCCCTTTTGGGGTTTTCTTGGCAAGGATACTGGAGTGGTTTGGCATTTCCTTCTTCAGCTCATTTTTTACAGATGAAGAAACTGAGGCAAACCGGGTTAAGTGACTTGCCCAGGGTTACCCAGCTAAAAACGTCTGTCAGATTAGAGTGACTCCAGGTCCAGCACTTTATCCACTGTGCCACCTAGTTGCCCCAACTTTCCTAGCAAGGGTTCCAGGGAAGTGAGGGGAAGACACAGTAGAAACACAGGGAGTTACCTGCAGTGCCTTGCCAGTGAAATGGAGGGAGGGGAGATCCAGGGACAAGGAAGGAAGAAAGCCCTTCACTTTGGCAGCACCTGTAACAGCTCACCCTGAATGGCAGCAGCCATTGTGTGTGCAAGCCGCATCTAGATTTGGGGGAGCTTGCTTTTTAGCTATTAGACACACTCAGAATCCCACATTTGCTGAAGTCTCAGCCCTTATGGATTAATTCAATTGGAGTTTAGTTGCTTATCTCCAGCCACAGTCAGGGGTGACATTCCTCCCCTCCCCCAATAAGAAGCAACTGAGATGCTAATACCTTTGTAACTATAAGGTGCTACGCAGACGCCAACCACATCCACTCATTATTTCCCCTTTGGGTAGAAATCCACCAGCCTCCAGAGGTTTTCCCAAAGTTAAATTCTTGGTGTTTCATTTCTTATTGGTCCCTTTCCAGAAGCTCCCCAGGACTTTCTCACTCCCAACCCCATAAGGAGAATGGGGAAACTTGGCTCCCCTGAAAAGCAGGGTCTCCTGGGGACAGGCTGCCTGTGACTGCTGGCTTGAAGCTGAAATGCCATTCCTCCTCCCCAAGTGCTCTTTGGCACAGGCTCATGTATTTTTAAAAATGAAGTAAACTCATTAATTTCCTGGTAAGAGCTTCCCTCTTGAGATGACTGTAGGCCACCAGGGATATGGCCAAACTGGAATCCCTGAGGACAGACAAGAGTTCAGGGAAGGGTTATCATTTAATTTTTTTAGGAGAGGGGGCATTTATTAAGCACCTACTATGTGCCAGGCACTATCTGTGATAAGCACTTTTATAACTATTACCTCATTTGGTAGTCATGACAACGCTGTGAGGGAGGTGCTATTATCATCAACATTCTACAGTTGAGAAAACTGAGGCAGGTAGAAATTAAGTGACTTGTGCAGACAGCTAGTGAATGGTTGAGGCTGGATTTGAATTCAGATCTTCCTGACTCCAGGGTCAGCTCTCTAGCCATTGTATAGCCTAGCTGCCCTTTAGAGATTAGTTTCCCCATTAGTAAAATGAGCAGAATTTGTCCCTAATACTGCCATCCATCTAGAAAGAGGACATAGAGCTTAATTGTCCCCTTCAAGGAACCAAGCTGGTTTTGGCCACTAAGTCTAGGGATAAAATCAAATTAACACTGACTATGTGCCCTCACTGTGTGCAGATATATTCTATATTGGGCGTCCTGCTGTTTCCTAGAATCAGAGAATATCACATCTTCAGAGACTTTAGAGATCCCCTCGTCCAACCTTTTCATTTTAGATAAGGAAACAGAGACCCAAAAAAGTAAAGTGAGTTATTGGCCTGGGTCGCTTAATTAATTAGTGGAAGAGCTAGACCTAGAACATAGGCCTTCTAACCCCCAGTTCATTCTTGGCTCTATACACCAAGAGGAAGTTACTGACAGGGTCAAGAAGGAGATCCAGGAACCAATTTAGGGAGGTCTCATCATGGGAAATATCAGATTCCTCAGTTTCTGGGGAAGTCTTTTGTCTTAACCCTGGTTTAAAGGGCAAGACTGTACTTTCCAGGGTTAAAGCATTGTCAGATCTAAGGCCAATAGGGGATCAGCCATGCCCCCCTCAGATGACCGTGGATCAGTGTTGGCAGGGTTTCTTTCTGACCCATCACATCATCCAACTCCCACCACACACACTGTTACCTTGCATCTATGCTGTGTGTGTCTTATATGACCTCATCTCACCCATTAGACTTAGAATTAAATGCTCTTTGAGGGCAGAAACCATTCTTTTCTTTCTTTCTTTTTATATCCTCAGATCTTTTTTTTTTTTTTAGGCAATTGTGGTTAAGTGACTTGCCTACGGTTATACAGCTAGTAAGTGTCAAGTGTCAAGTGTTTGGTCTGAGTCTAGATTTGAACTCAGGTCCTCCCGACTTCAGGGCCACTGTTCTATCCACTGCGCCACCCAGCTGCCCCTATATCCTCAGATTTTAGCATAGTGCCTGGCAAATAGTAAGCTCTTAATAAATGCTTGTTGATTTATTAATGAATAGGTCAAAATGCCAGGAATTTTTTTTAAATGTCAATTCAATAAACTAAGTGACCACTACAAGCCAGGTTCTGTGGTGGATGCTGATAATACAAAAGCAAAAAATAAAATAAAAAAAGAATTCTTGCCTTCAGGGAACTTACATTCTACTGCTGGATAAAACACCTTCACAAATCAGTAAATATAAAGAATACAAAGTGATTTAGAGAGGACCTGAGTACTACCAAAGGCCATCTATAGGACAGACCTCCCAGATTCCCCAGACCGAAGAAAACCCAGATTTTCCACATAAAGATAAGATAGTGCTTAAGAAACCAAAGTTCTTACCTGCATGACTTTTCCCTACCATACTCTTAGTTTATCCATTTCTCACCACCTACCTGCCTCAGAGCATATAGAAAGCAATGCATAACCCCAAGGAATGACTGTCCACTAACAGAACTGCAGTCATCAGGACCTCTGCCCCTCCACATCCTCTGCTTTACTAAGGACCAAGGAAGGAGCTCACGCTTGCAGCTCTTTGGAGAGAAGTGTGTCCTCTGCGGTAAGGTTTTCTTCTTTGACAGATCATGGGGTGACCACCTAGTCTGCTCAGTGTGGCATCTTGGGATCAGATCTGCTGTCTGAGTAGAGAAAGTCTATGTTTGTAGAGGCCATTCAAGCCCCCGGTTGAGGGTAGAGATGATGGAGCGGAGTTACAGGGTGGCTGCCTCAGGCTTGTTTATGTGCTGCTCTGAATGGTTTATTTCTAAAGCATGGATTCTCTGCTTCGCCTAGGCCACTATCTGTCAGCAGGCTCAGCCAAATCCTATCATTTCTGGCCATTGGTCCAGAACAAAAGGGCCTAGCCAGAAATGCTGAAATTTTCTCCACCACCCCCAGCCCTGTACTCTGTGATTATCCTTCCTCTTTTCATCTATTGACCAAGCATCTAGGGCCCTCATGCTACTCCCTTCACCTCTGTCAGGGAAGAAATGTCTGAAAAACTCATTCCTACAAAGGTGTGAGAAGCAGCTAGGTAGCTCAGTGAATAGAGTGCTAGGCCTGGAGTCAGGAAGACCTGTGTGATCCTGGGCAAGTCTGGTTGCCTTAATCTATTGTAGAAGGAAATGGAAAACCACTCCAGAATTTTTGTCAAGAAAACTCCATGGACAGTATTGGCATGTTATGGTCCACAGGGTCACAAAGAATTGGACATGACTGAACAACAACTAAGGTGAAAAAAAAAAGACTGAATGTATGAATCTTACCAGGAGAACACATTTTTAAAAGGAAGGGGGGGAAAGCATTTATTAAGTGCCTACTATATACCAAACACTTTACAAATGTTATCTCATTTGATCCTCATAATAACCCTGGGAGGTAGGTGCTGTTATGATGCTCATTTTACAGTTGAGGAAACTGAGTTTATTAAGTGATGCTGTTTGAGGGAGAATTTAAACTTGGGTCTTTCTGATTCCAGGCCCAGAGCTCTTTCCACTGTCAGAGCATATAGAAAGCAATGCATAACCCAAAGGAATGAAAGTCCACTAATAGAATTGCAGTCATCAGGAACAGTAGGTCCAGAAAGGGAGATATCATCAGACTGGGCGGGGAGAAGGGACATCCTCCAAACAGGATGAAAAAAGTATGTATCAAGCACTTACTGTGTGCCATGCATGTGTTAAATGCAGGAAATACGTATAGAAACAGGAACCATCTCTGCTCTCAATGAGCTTATGTTCTTGTTGGGGGGAGACAGCTTATACAGGAGAGTTCAGCTTCAAAGAAGATGGGAAAGCCCAGCGGGCTTTGGGGTGCATCAGCCAGGTGTAGGGCAACACCCAAGGAGGACCAGAGGACTCATTGTGGCAGGGCAGACGGTAAGACCTAATGGGCCTCCATTTTAATGGAAGGATTATAGTTGGTGGCTTCCTACTTGTGGAGGTGATATACGTGCCCATTTTTCTCCATCCCTCTGTCTCTACTGGCAGTTCTTTTCATATCTGGTCAACAAAAAATATTTGTTCCTGAGCCTTTTAGAGAATAGAATGCATAAGCCAAATAAAAGAAATTTAAATTAATCTCTGTCTGCCTGACTCTCACCCCTTTCCCCCTCTTTCCTCCCCCCATTTGTCCTCATCCATCTCTCTCTCTCTCCCTCCCTCCCTCCCTCTCTCTCTCCCTCCCCTTCTGCCCTCTTCCCATCTCTTGTTCTCTTCTTCTCCCCATTTATCTGTTTCAGCAAATGCAGCAGCAAATGCAGCATCAGACGCTGCCCAGCAGGCTGTGGACCAGGCTGCAGAGGCAGGACAGAAAGGTCAGACAATGGAAGGGGACCAAAAGGTGGATGGGAGGATGATAGTGGGCCTGGGAAAAAGAAATAGAAGGGTGGGTCAGGTAAGGCACTCATTGCAATCAGCAGGGCCCTTCCCTCTCCAGCTAAAGTCAAACTGAGACCTGCTAAAGACTGTATCTTGAAAAGGCCAAGGCCTCCCACTGTATCCAGAGCCATCTCCAGGAGTCCCGATCTATATCTGGCTACTGGACCCAGATGGCTCCAGAGGAGAAAGTGAGGCTGGTGACTTTGCACAGCCCTCCCTCACTTAAATCCAATTCATGCAAGTCATGGCATCATCTTCCTAAAGTCATGTTCCTCTTCGAGAACGAAGGACAAATGGTAAAACTTATGGTAACTAGGTCTCAATTTCCCTGAGGCTTTCCTGGCCAATTGGATTTGACTAAGAACACTTGGCTAGTACTTTATGGATTCAGCTACTCTATACATAGTCAGTTTGGCTGTAACAAGCTGGATGTGATCCTAAAAATCATTATTGTAGAAGATCACCTAATAAAAACCACAAAGCTTATGGGAAAATGGGATTGGGAATATAATATTCAAAAACTTGATCAGTGACATGTTAAAAAAGGGACTTTATAAAAATGGTAAAAATTCATCAGTATTACAGTAAATAGTGGCTGCTACTCAGCCTGTGACCCAGTCCCTCCTGGGTGGGGGATGGAGTGGACCTGGGTTGACAAAGTTGATGGCTACAGGGAAGGGAGGACAATTTGGGGGGAGGGGGTCAAAACCATTGCTAAAGGGGGGAGAGAGTGTGTGGGTACAAACCAGCCCATTTCTGTCCACACCAGAAGATATGTAATGAATATGGCAGTTTTATGTTGAAAAAGACCTGAAGTTAGTTTGTGGAAGTAGGTGTGAATTATTATGAAGTGTGGCCGTCTTCATTCTGCGTATTTCTCATAGATACGAGCATTAGTAAATTCCAAATTCACATTATTCTCTAATCATTCCCTACTATATCAATCACATTGTAACAAATTTGAGTTTTTATAGAAGAACTAACTGCACTGTCATCGAACCTTTGACCCCATTAGGGATCTGCTTCCCCTGCGCTGCTCCATCCCTGTCTTCATCCTAGTCCCTTCCCCTTGGAGCAGAAGACAAGCAGCAATGACAAATGATGACTTTGCTCTGTGTGTTTTGTGCTTTGGCCATCTTCATCCATAGGGAAGGATTCGTCTGGGGTGGGGGTGGGGAATATTCACCTGTGAATGTCTCTCTCTTATCCCCAGCTGCGGAGCACTTGGTCAAGTCAACCCAGGAGGGCATTGACAAGACAACAGGTCAGGCTGCAGAAGCCATTTCAAGCTTTGGGAAGAAATACGGGTTCCAAAAGTGATGGTCTATGGAAAGAAGAAAAGGAGTAACCCTTCTCCCTCCTCAATCCCCAATCCCCACCTCTTCCTCATGGCCTCAATTTGGAAATGCCCCATGGGGCCTGATCTCTTATTAAAATGAATTCCTCTTATGTGGAGGGAGAGGAAACCTAAATGTTCTGTCTCCTCTTTGGGCCCTTGTCTGGCTACTTCTGACCTTGGCAGCTGTGAACAGAAGCTGAGCCTTTAGGAGTAGCATAGGTACCACAGAGTCTGTTAGTGATTGGAGAAAACATTAGAGGAAGCACATACTATAAAGGAGTGTTCTCTCCATCTAGGACTTGTGTGCTCTGTGCATACCCAGGACTGACTTTTTCCTTCTGTGCAGGCCAGTCTGGAGACAGAAGGGGGCAGATCCCTCCTTTGGAGGGATGGGGAGGGAGGTGATCTGTAAGATAGACTGAGGTTTATAAATGGGCCTTGTGCAGAGCTGAAGCTCCAATAAGAGCAAAGAGGAGATTCTAGTGGAAAGAGCATTAAGCTTGGGGTCAGGAGACTTGGGTGGGAGTCCTGACTATGCTACTTACTCACTGTGTGACCCTGGGTAGGTCACCTTAACCTTTCTGTAAAGAATTGGGCTAAGCTAGATGCTCTGGAATTCTGTGATGTGAAAGTGAGTCCCCCAGATTCCCCCTATTCCACAGGGACTTGGACTGGCCCAGATGCTCCTATAAGCACCCCCCCCATCACCTCTACACTTCTGCCTTGATTTGGGGGTTATAATAGATTCAGCCTCTGAGTCCAGTCTGCTGGAGAGAATCTCTTGGTCATTGTTTGAGCCCTGATGGGCTCTGAATGAATGTAAATAGCAATTGTTTCTGGTTTGGCCAGAAACCCTGAGGGTCTTCCTCTCCCACATCATTTTTTTTTTAAAGAAGCCATTCTTTGCCTCATTTCACTAAATGGGCATTGCCTCAGTCAAATGGTTAAAGACCTTAGCTTGAAAAGGCCAAGGCCCCCACTGTATCCTGGGCCATCTCCAGTCGTCCTGATCCATATCTGGCCACTGGACCCAGACGGCTCCAAGGAGAAAGTGAGGCTGGTGACTTTGCACAGCCCTCCCTCGTCCAAATCCAATTCACTTGCATGTCACGGCATCACCTCCCTGATGTCTGGTCCTCTTGGAGAACGAAGGACAAACAGGAGGTTTGCCTCTTGTGGAAGGTTTTGGTAATACAGTTAGTTATGTAACCAAGGCACTGAGTCACAGCTTCCCCTCCTCCTTCTCCCTCTCCCAGCTCGCGCGCTCTCTCTCTCGCTCTCTCTCTCTCTCTCTCTCTCTCTCTCTCTCTCTCTCTCTCTCTCTCTCTCTCTCTCCCCTCTCCTCTCTCTCTCTCTCTCTCTCCCTCTCTCTCTCTCCCGTCTCCCTTCTCTCTCTCTCTCTCTCTCTCTCTCTCTCTCTCTCTCCCTCTCTCTCTCTCTCCCTCTCTCTCTCCCTCTCCCTCTCTCTCTCTCTCTCTCTCTCTCTCTCTCCTCCCTCCCTCCTCCCTCTCCTCTTGTTTTGGCTCTTCTGGAATCGTTTTTTTTTCCTCCTAGACATACTTTACATTTTTCTTTTCGTTTCTCATGATAGCTTTTGTTTTTTTATATCGTTTTCATTTCTGGACATCTCCCTTCCCCCCTCCTCCAAAAACAATCTATCACTTATAACACAACATTTTAAAAAAAGAAGAAAACCAGTTTGATGAAACTAACCAAAACATCAATGGAAAATGGTAGTATATGTAATTTTTTTCTGGAATCCCTTTTGGAATCACCACCTGATCCCCCCACCTCCCAGCTAGACCATACTTGATTTCCTAAGGCTGATGGTGTGGACACAGAGAGCCAAACAAGGTTGATTTAAAAATCATTCAAACCCAGGCTAATCTTTTCCCTTCCTAACATAGCCATTACCACTGCAGTCTGACTTCAAACCTACTGGATAGAGGGAGCTTAAATCAAGCCCATGGCTAGGAGGAGAGGATAGAATGGGCTCAAAAGAGGGTTAGATGCAAAGGTGGGACCATGGGAAGAGAAGGGACTGGAGGGGACTCAGGGATACAAGGGACCAGGGGAAAGCAGACCTAAGGCACAAAGAATTCTTTAAGCTACAAATTAGTGTTTTCTAATCTCTCCAAATCTAGCCATGGGTTTTCCCCATACTTCCCCTTCTCAACGCACAAGGACTAAATTGTCCCATTTCTCTTTGTCCCCATTCTAGGCCAGCAGATCTGACTTCTTTGTAGGCTGATTGTCATGGAAACCTGGGGTGGGGCAGCTGCAGGGGATGACTCACTGGGCAGTCACGGAAGGGTGGGGCAGGATACCAACAGGCCCCTTGAAGACCAGATGAGAACTAAAACTGGGACCATGTTTAGGATATTGTGTAGTCCTCTGCATCCTAGTATAAACTCTGGCAGAGAAACCAGCTCTGGCCTGGAGGCTGAACTTGCAAGACTGTTCTAAATCCCTCAACCCCTCCCTGAGCCCAGTTACCCTACATCCCATCATTTTGAGTTTCCTGGAAGATTTCATTCTCTTCTCAGTTTCTTGAGCTACCTTTCCTGGAGTGAGGTGACTGTATCCATTTGACAAGTTAAGCAGACAAATCCAGAGAGGCGGCCCCTTACTTAAGACCACACAGAGAATTAGAACCAAGGAGAGAACTCCAGATATCCTGCCTCCCCAGCCAGTGATTTTGGCCTCTAGCCACACACCGTCACTCCCTGGTATGTCTTTTAATAAATAAATCAAAATCACTGGCTCACTGGAATTTGTCCTTCATACCTTCATCTCTCCCCTGGCATTCCTAACTTTAGTCCCCCCCACCTGTTATTCTGAACATTCTCCCCTGGCCAGAAACTCACTGGTCTGATAACTAAATTATGCCCTAGAGCTGAGGCTCGATCTGGATTGGACTAGAGATTCTGAAGAGGCCATAGAGATTTAGGCAGGTCTTACTCATCAAGTAAGCATGCTGTCTTTAAAACATTTCTGAGGGTTTCTAGTAAAAGAAAAGAGTAGTTTCAATCCATTATGCCATCCCAGGGGGCCTCCCTCTACCTGTAGTACACTATTCAGCCACTGGGTGGAGACAGTTTCCTTTCCTTTTGAGCCTGGGTTTTTTTTTTTTTTTCAATATACTATTCTTATCTCTGGGGCAAAAGCCTATGCTTTGCCTAATAATGACTAGCCATGAATCTCTGAGGCTCACTTAAAACAAAAAGGGCCAGCTGTTTTTACTCAAGCACATCTCCGGCAACAATGGTTCCATTTATTAGAGGTTGTTGCACTTTAAGTGTGACTGTGTGCATGTGTAAATACAGGTACAGTGTGTCATTGGACTCCAGACTAAATTCAGGGCTTACAAAATAGGAGTGTCTCTTACATCTTATGGAGCTGACTTTCTAACGAGTCTCACTAGCCTATGAGTTCCCCTAAATTCCAAGTTTGAAGACAGGTTACCAGAAACAAAGTCAAGTAAAATGTGATCCTATCACCTTCACATATACTCAGTCCCACAGTCAATCAGTTAATCAATAAACATTAATTAACTGCCCAATACGGACCAGGCACTGTGCTAAGGGCTGGTGATGTGAAGAAAGGCAAAAGACAGTGCCTGTTCTCAAAGGAGACAAATTACAATGATGTACAAATAAGCGATGCAGGATGAATTGGCGATAACCAATATAAGGAAGGGGCTAATGGGGGAATCTCGAAAGGCTTCCTGTAGAAGGTGGGATTTTAGCTGGGACTTGAAGGAAGCCAGGGAAGCCAGGAGGCAGAGACTAGGAGAGAGGGAATGCACAGAGTTGGAAGATGGAGTGTCAGGCAAGGGACAGTAAAGAGGTGCAGAGTATGGGGGAAGGAGTTTAAGATATAAGAAGACTGGAAAGGTCGGGGTGGGAGACAAGTTATGAAGGGATGTACAAGCTAAACAGAGGGTTTTATATCTGATCCTGGAAGAGATAAGGAGCCAAAGGAGTTCATTAAGTGAGGGGTTGGGAGAAAGGAAGGTCAGTGACCTGGTCAGACCTGCACTTTAGGAAAATCACTTTGGCAGCTGAGTGGATGGAATGGGAGGGGAGAGATTTGTGGCAGGGGAAACAGCTAGCAGACTATTACAACAGTCCAAGTGTGAGGAGATAAGAGTCTGCACCGGATGGTGCTAATGGCAGAGAAGAGAAACAGTTTTATGGGAGAGATTTTATGAAGGCAAAATCAACAGTCTTTGTCAACAGATTGGATATGGGGTGAGGCTGAGAGAGACTGAGGAGGTAAGGAAAACACCTGGGCTGTGAGCCTGCATGCCTGGGAAGATGGTGATGCCCTCAATAGTACTAACACACAGTAATAGTAATAAAGTTAGGAAGAGGGGAGGACCTAGAGGAAAGATAGTGAGTTCAGTTTTGGACAGGTTGAGTTTAGGTTGTCTACAGGACATATGGGGCAGGTAGTTGCCAAAGTGGATAGAGCGCCAGGCTTGGAGTCAGGAAGACTCATCTTCCTGAGTTCAAATCTTGCATCAGATACTTCCTAGTTGTGTGACCCTGGACAAGTCACTTAACCCTGTTTGCCTCAGCTTCCTCATCTGTCAAATGAGCTGGAGAAGGAAATGGCAAACCACTCTAGTATCTTTGCCAGGAAAACCCCAAATGGGGTCCCAAAGAGTCAGACACAACTGAAACAACAATAATAGGACATTTGTTTAATATGTCCAACAGGCAGTTGGAGATGGGAGTCCGGAGATTAGGAGGTTAGAGGTTAGGGCTGAATAAGTAGATCTGAGAAGCAACAAATGAAAAACTCCACTGTTCAAGAGGCTTCAAAATATGAGATCTAACTCTATTTGGCTCTACAAACAAAACAAATTTAAAAAAAAACCACATATGACAATAGTCATAAGGAAGTTAAGAAGAGAGAAGGGGTTTGGACATGCTAAGCTTGAGATGTCCATGAGACCTCCATTTTTGAGATGTCCAATAGGCAGTTGGAGATTGGAGACTGGAGGTCAGCAGAGAAGTCAGGGTAACATAAATAGATCAGAGAATCATCAACATAGAGATGGCACTGACATCCATGGGAGTAGATGAGATCACCAAGCAAACAGCACAGAGGGAGAAGAGA